GCCCTCCCTTTTGACCTCCCCGCCTTTTTGTTCCCCCCCCCCCCCCCCCCCTTCGATGCAACGTCGTGTGGTAGTTTGAACACATTATTGCTGCTGCCAATAACTACAGCCGCTCCAGGCAATACATTTATCAGGTGTGCATGAGTGTGTTTGTCCAGATGCGAGTGCCTGTAACAGCCCGACTTTGAGGCGCGGCCAGACGAAGAGGTGTCCAGGCGACGCCTGTGGAGCTGTCCTCTTGACTTGTAGTCCGTGCGCCTGACAAGAGTTTGCATTTTGGAACTCAGATCACCAGCCGGCTTGAAGGTCACTTTTCAGCTGACTCCACAGAGTATCGTCAAGCAGAGGAACGATTGCAAGGCCTATCCAAAGGTTCGAGCCGCTCAAGCAAACATGTGACCTCCTTTTCTGTCCTCGTGTTTCTCGCGCTCATGCTGCATGTTCCAATGCATTGCGACACTGACAACAGAGTTTCTTCGTCTCTCCTCGGTGGCGTGCCGAGTGCTGGTGGCTGTTTCCTGGTGTGACATTCAACCATTCTGCGACGAGTTGTACAATCTCAAGTGGTGCGTGGCGCACGGCACTGTTTTGGATTTGTGAGCGTGCCTTTTCTTCTGACCTACCAGATACGCCCAAACTTGCCGTAGGCTGCGTTCGCGCAAGGCACTTGAAACGATTGCGGCTACCGTGCGAGACTATTTCCAGGACGCTCAATTGCATCTGCACCCAGAGTACGATCACGTGATCCACACGACTCCGTTTATATGACACACCGTTGAACTGCAGGCCCAGGTCACTCATTTCGGGGCGCTTGCCTGACCAGTTTGACCTACGATTACATGTACCAAGTGCATCGCCGACTCATGACAAGCTATGTGACGTGCGTGCTGTTGAGCTTGGGAACCTTATTTTTGAAAGATCACCATGATTTGACTCTGCAGAAGCAGGGGCGGTCTGACTGGCGTGCCACCTGCTGTGAATGCATGCACTTGATGTTCAGGATGCTGATGAAGGGACCGCTGACGTTGAAAACGGACGATGACCGAGATGCCTTGCTGGAAAATTACGAGCGAGAAAAGAACATTTTGGCAACTTTGTTTGAAGACTTTGACATGGTCGAAGACGAGAACGGCGTAAGTCCAAGCGCCCTCTTGGATTCGGGCTTCGTTGTTCTCCCCTCTTGGCTCTGATTGGCTTCGGCTGTGCTTATGACATGTGCATAGCGCGATATCGTGCTAGTATTGGTCGCTGTTTTTCAGATCTTGGCGGCGTCCAAGAGCATGATCCGCATGTCGTGGCTCAAGCTCAAGTACGTGCACACCTGAAAGACATGCCACCTGTGGAGCGCCATTGCGCAGAGCTTGTGGTTACATTTGACGCGACTGTTCATTCTCATCTATTTATGGGGTTTCTCGCGCCAGGCAAGACTTTCCCGATTGCTCATACAACCACTTGCACGCATTGCTTCTGCGTCGCGGGGATCTGGCAGCGAAAGAGGTTTGTGACTTTGGGTGCAGAAATGCCTCTTGCTGGCTCCTTGTTCTCCTGTGCACTCAAACCGTTCATCCCGTTATGGCTTATTGGGGTCTCCTCTGGTCGCGGTCTGTCCAACGAATGTTGTATCGATGCCTTGCGCCTGCAGGTGAAGACATTTGTTCGTAACGACATTGTGGCCAAGGATCAGGCCGAAGGCATTTCGTTCACCGTCGAAAACGGCGAGCGCTTCTTTCAGCACGTGGACAGTGGCAACACCATTGATTATCTCAAAAAAGAGTAAAAGCCCCGACTCACCCTCTCTGCCCAGTCTGAGCTCCAGAATGGGGGGATGTCTGCCTGTCTTCTTTGTTGTTTGGAAGTGCCATCATGCTGACATTCGACACCATCATTTTCACAACAGTTTTGAGTCGATAAACTACACTATAATGATAGCAAGTTTATGATACCGAAATGTGTGCTTTTCATCACACTCTCTGCATCAACCGCAAAAGGACCGTTACAAGCCACAACAGGCAAACAAAGGAAGAGAGAGAGAGAGACAGAGAGAGATTTGAGAGAGAGAGAGTTTGAGAGAGAGAGAGTTTGAGAGAGAGAGAGTTTGAGAGAGAAAGAGTTTGAGAGAGAGAGAGAGTTTGAGAGAGAGAGAGAGTTTGAGAGAGAGAGAGAGAGAGAGAGAGAGAGAGAGAGTTTGAGAGAGAGTTTGAGAGAGAGAGAGAGAGAGAGAGAGAGAGAGAGAGTTTGAGAGAGAGTTTGAGAGAGAGAGAGAGTTTGAGAGAGTTTGAGAGAGAGAGAGAGAGAGAGAGAGAGAGAGAGAGAGAGAGAGAGAAAAAAAACGGTCACAACGGTCACTCTTCTTTTGGCGCCCATTTGAAAGAGCGTGCCTTTGTTTTTGGCGCTCCATCGCTGCGTGCTGCTTTGGGTGCTGCCTCGCTGACCTGGCTCGCTGCCGTTGTGTCCTGGTTGATCAGAGCGGTTGGTGGGTATTTAATCATCTTTCAACTTGGTCCTGCATGGTTGTGGGTCATTGGATGCCCTATATCGTACTGTGGGAAGCGAACGCTGCGCTGACGGCAGCGCGTGCGTCGCGAATCATTCGCAGCGTCGGCGTCGGCGTCGCCGTCAAGTGACCTCTTTCGGTTTTGGGGGAGACCAATCAGACACCATGGCGGCACTCGCTATGTTGCCCACCGTGTCCTTGGCCAATGACGAGGAGGACGAAGCTCTCTCACTTCAGGCCACGCAATCGCCCGTCGCAGCAGTGGATCCCGTGTCAGTGCCGAGGCCCGCACCACCGGTCTGCAGCGAGAGCAAATCCTCGGCTCCTGCGGGCCTCAGCTCTGCTCTGCTACACCTGGAAACGATCAGTCCTCCGACTAGTGATGACGAGGAGGATTTGCCACAACCTCAGATGCTTGAACAGGCTGCATACAACATTCTTGAACTACCCGATTTTGATTTTGACAGCTGTTCGCGAGGCCCCGAGTCACCCACTCCGGCACAACAGGCGTCTGGGCCCGCCACGCCCCTGCGCAAGGCGCGGAGCGACTCGCCGGTATCCCGACACCAAAGTGATGCTGCTGCCATGGATACGGACGACGACGAAGAGGGACATGCCTCGCCCCAATCCACCATTCAAGCTTTCAAGTCCTCGGCCAAAGCCAAGTTGGCCGCTGGCTCAACAAACCCGGAGCAACATGATGGCAGTGTAGTGAGTGAGCCCGACGCCAAAACTGAGACAAAGCCCGATGCTTCCTCCTTGACGGAACGTACATCCAAAATGTCCAAGCGTCAACTGGAGCGCCTCCGGGCCGAGGAACGCGAGGCACAGAAGCGCGAATCTGCCCGCTTGATCCGAGAGCAAAAGACATTGCGGTGCGTGTTTGATTGTTGAAACCGCCACGAGGTCCTGGTCAACACTCAAGCCTTCCCTGCCTTGACTGTCCTCCTTCAGGTTGCGGGCGCATCAACCAGCCACCAAGTCTATGAATGCGCTGTCCAGCATTTTTGCTCGTGCTGGCGTCTCATCCTCAGCAAAAAAGTAAGGCGTGGTCGAGTTTGGCAGCCCCTGCTCTTGCTGCCTTGCTAGTCGAATCGATAATCTCATTTGGTGGCCTGTCGGTTTGTATTCCCTTTCGCTGTCTTGCACGGTCTTGTGTCTTGTGTAGACACGCAACGTCCCTCAACCCACGAGCGCGATTGCTCCGCAACGTGCCCCTTCAGCGACTACAAGCCAAGCCTATGTTGGGCGCCGGCATTCGCCGTTCGTATCAGCGCCATGCAATGTGTGCCCCGAGCAAAAGCCACGCTCACTTCACCTCGGTTTGTGCTAATCTCAGGTACCACATCAGCCCCAACAACCCAGCGCACGACCTCATCAGAAGACAGTCCGTCACACAATCAAATTTTGCGCGAGGGCGCGCATATTGATCTCAATCCAGGTCCGGTCCAAATCACCCAGATGACCTGTGACGTGACTTTGTCAGCTTGCGCTCACCCGTAATCTTGGCGGGGCATCATTCCAGTTGAAGTGACACCCGACGACGGCTTGCTTCGTCGTCAGGATTTGCGAGCTCAGTTGAAAAAGCGAGTACGTTCACATACTCCATGCATTGCCAGCCGCATGTTCTTGTTGAGTAGGGGGAATAGTATCGACCTTGATGTTGTTGCACGCGCGCCCTTGATTGTTTAGGTAATTCGCGAACGTCGCATTCTCTACGAGCGCGACGAGGCTGTCCGTCGGATGGATGAGGAGGATTTTGATGAGGAACAAGCCGCTGACTTGCTGGCCCACGGCTCCGAAAATGAGGACGATGAGGGGGAGGATGACGCAGAAGTTCTTGATGAAGAAGAGGATGAAGCGACTGACGATGAGGGCGACGAGGAAGCTGATGGCAGTGAAGGCGTCGCAGATATCAGCGGCGAAGACAGCAATGCCATGGAAGGCGACGCTGGGGATGGTGTTGATTCCAAGCGGCCTGACGAGAGCGAAAAAGACAAAAACAAAGACAAAGACGAAGACGATGAAGAAGACGAAGAAGACGCAGCTGCATTGCGCTTGCTTGCCGCCGCTCAGGAGGAAGCCAACAAACCTACTCATGCACCAGCACTCCCACGCCTGCAAACAGAATCCACTGTTGTCTTATTCGGACAGGTACCGCCAAAGCCGCAGCTACCATCTAAAGGCCAAGCTGCACCCTCGGAGGCTAGCAACTCGGGAAAAGCTTCGGCTTCCCCCACGGCAAGCTTGGCTGCGGATTCCACCGCCAATCCTGGCAGCGGCGATAAGTTTGGCTTGGATGCGTACCTGAATCGTCCAACTCAGGACGAAGAGGATGTTCCTCGCTTTGAGGTGAGTGGCTAAAGCTATTTGGCGTGTGCCCCTTGTCTCCTAAACTAGCTTTCGCCCCGCACGCGCGTGCTCCAGCTACAGCTCTCATCGTTTGAGTGGTGCATAGATTGACGACAACGAAGACTTGATGGGCTTGTGTTCGGGCCAGTTTTTGACTCAAGCCCTAGATGAGCGGGCGCGGTGCGTGCATGCTCAAATGAATTTGTCATGGGTGCTCCTGCAGCAGTACCTAGTCCCTGTTTCGCCAAGTCAGAACACTGCTCATGCATGGCGTGTGCTATTTCCCTGGGCAGGCGGTCGAGGACTCCCCTGCAAGCTGCTGGCGAGGCGCACCATCTCAAGTCAATCCCGCAGCCGGATGAAACACCCCTCCCCCCAAGTACGCAACTTAGCCATCACCTTGCACCAGATAACGTTGCAGCAGCAAACATACCGTGTCTTTTCTTCAACACCTGTTGCTCGTAAAAATGCACACCACCTCACCATTGTCTTGACAGCCTCGGCCTTTGTCGATGGCGAAGCTGCTGTATCAGGGGAGGAGGATGGCACTGACGAGGATGATGCGACACAAGCCATGGTGGACGGTAGCTTCGTGGATCACGAGCAGTCGGAGGGTGCCGAAGATGCCCAGAACCTTGCCGCTTTTAGGCAACAGCAAAGGACTACAGAGGCTGAAGCCGAGCTGGCTGGGTTTTCCCACCTCTTGCAAAACAAGCGCAGCGTGCTTGATGAAGACGTGGGCGAGGATGCTGAACGTGAGTTTCAACTGGGGGTCTGGGGGTTGACAATGCCCTGGTTCTGTTTGGCCTTACTATGGACATGCGACTGCACGTCACAACTCAGGCAAAGGTCGTCGTCTCACGAAGGAGGAGCGACGACGAAGGCGCGAAATTATGAAAGCTCGGCGCGAATCTCGCAAGCGCCGGGCTAGCGATCTTCGCGAGCCAGAGGAACACAGCCTCGGGAGCCGTACCTCGTTTATGCAAGAAAGCGAGACCATTGTCGTGGTAAGGTGCTTGCTGCCAGAATCGCATGTTTGAGCAGGGTGAAAAGGCAGCACACTTGCCCGACGAGTTGGCACTTTTGGAGCTGGGGTGGTTTTGACGAGTGTTTGTCCTTAGGAGGACGAATCGCCCGACGAGGAGGAAGACGCAGAAGAATCACGCATCGTCTTGGAGCGCGTCCAACGCAAGATGGAGTTTGCCGCGTTTCGCCGGCGTGAACACACAGAAACCATTACTGAGACGCTGACAGCCATTGATGAAGAGTCGCAGCAAGTACATGTCTGCATGAGTGCAGTACTTGCCCGAAGCGTGGCCCCACCGCCGCGCACCACCAGCGATGGCTCGAGCCGTCCCTCACGCCCTTCGCGTCAGTCCCAGCACTCTCAAGATGACCTATTCACACCACCGTTACTAGTCCGCGAACATAGCAGCAGCAAGTGCGTTCCAGCATAGCATTGAGCGTTTGAGCACTGCCCACGAGAGCGCTGCCTGGCCAGCTGCTTCGTGTCCCCTCTTATGTGCTTCTCTGACACCTCTTAGGTCATCTTTTTTGAACTTCAGTCCCAAGAAGGTTAAGCGACTGCAAAGCATGACGGCCAACAGCAATAAGGTGGTGTTTATGCACCGAGTTCACTAATTTCAGCCGTCCCTTCTCATCTCAAGGTCTTGACGCCCATCTTTGGCACGACGCTCTGTCTTGACAGGGTGTGAATGGAGGTCAAGCATACGTGTTCCGTACAGACAGCAGCAGCCAATCGTCAAAGGATGGCAGCGCTTCGCTGGTACGTTTCCTCAGTTTTTTTTTTTGTTTTTTTTTTCTCCCTGTTGTGCCAAGTCGTACGTGTTAACAGAGTGCCACCAGCGAGCTCATAAGCCAATTTGTGGACATGACAGAATTCAGCCAAGCAAGCCCGCAAGCAGCATCATCCCACCAAGTTTAATGCTGCCCAACGCCGACCTGCTTTGAAGCGCAGCAAAACAGCGCCACCCACTAACAACATTTTTGCTCGCCAAAGTGCCAGCCTTCGTGAGGCCATGAGTGGTCGTGCTTCCAAGGTTGCCACTTATCGTGCGCGGTAGATGCAGTCCAATGATCCCGTCTTGCATTGTATTGTTATGTCCTCGAGCCATCATCCTTGAATGGCGCCTACCTGCAGAGCTGGTAGCTGAGTCCCAATGATGAGCGCTTTGCCGCTGTGGCGTCTCGCGAGGGGAGATTGTTTGTCCCCTTATTTGCAAAGTATCGACTATTCTGTGCAGCCCCCGGATCTTCTGATGGTGCAAACACAAATTGACCACGTTCGATTATATTCTGCCACATGATTATTTCAAGTGTGATGTCACGCATAGCGTGGGCGCGCTACGCCAGGCAAAGTTGATCATGTGATCATAAAAATCGTCCTTGCTCTTTCCCAATCCTTGATGACACGGGCGTGATGACACGCTGCTCCACGCGTACGTGCGCTAACAACTGAAGCCGAGCTCCGTCATTTCGCTCTTCGTGTATAGACAACTTCAAATCACTCCCATGTGCTCTTCCTCCTCATTATAGTTCACAATGAGTGCCTGGTATTCACTCATGGGTGATCGACGGCGTGACAGGAAGGTGGCGAGAAGCAAAGTCAGTCCGACAAAGACCACCGAGCCCACCCCAATACCCACGGCCATCCCCATAGAAGGCTTGTATTTGTTGCTCTTGTTTGGCGCCACGGTGGTGGAACTTGGCGTGGTTGTGGTCAATGCTATAAATAAGCACGACGCAACGTGAGAACGAAGAAGAGGAAGCCAAGGATGGTGCAACGCCGGGGTTTTGACACGAATGCATTCGGTGGCTCAAATATGTGGAGAATTCCGGACAGCAGGGACCCACCTGCAGTGCAATACGAGGGCTCAAGCTCGAGACAGGCTTTGTATTCGCTTGCGTAAGCGTGGGTCATGAGACAGTACCATTGTTGGGTCGAGTGTTCGATAACGTTAAGTCTCGAGCCAGCCTTTTGGATGTGCTGCTCGAAAAAGGCTTTTGCTGTGGCGTTGGACCAGATCTCGCAGGCAAGCCACTTCATGCCCTCGGCGTTCCATGTCAGCTTGGGATAAGCTTGCATGATATCAACCACTTGTGTGAATGCAGGTATGGTGGGCAGCAAGCCATCAGTACCATTGACTACCAATGGCGCACTGTAAAACTGAATAAAGGGGCCACACAAGCACACAGGCGAATTGTTGCAATGAGGAAGCCAAGGCGCAGACATGCAAACGTGCGCAGACTTGAAGTTTGCTGCACATGAGTGACGGCCAGCGTACACATGTTCACACCTTCATATTTGCAACTTGACTCGAGTTGGTATGAATCGCAACGGTGGCAAAATTCGGGTTGTTACCGAAGTTGGGGGTCAACGCGCAGGACAGAATGATGGGGGCGGACAAATTGACACCTGGCGGAGGGGCTCGGAACTCGGTTTTATGCAAGTGCCCAAAAAGAAAGGCCCGAATCTGTTCGGAGAAGGGGGCAAGAATTTCGTAGAAGGTTTGCACGTAATGCTCGGCCCATTCGTTCTTGACTTGATCGTCGGTATGAAAGTATGAGTCCAGCACAGGGGGAATGTGTCCAACAATATAAGCCTGACGATTGGTCTGACGAACGAGCTCAAGCTGTTTGATGAGCCAAGCAAACTGTCCATAAGGGTCGGGCAGAAGGCGACCAGTGGCGGGAAGGCGTTTGAAGGAGTAGAGCACTGTATTGATGGAGATGATCGTCAGGTGCTCGGTGACGTTTCGGGCCATATAACCACCGGTTTGCACATCGAGAGTTTCAGCTGGAGTGAGCACTGCTCGCCAAGCATCAGCCACAGCGCGCAGGAGGGTGTTATTGGTGCCGAGATCCATCTGATAGTCGACTAGGACGTCGTTGTTACCAAAGGTGTTTAGAACAGCCTCATGGGCTTCAGTCGCCGGTGAGTGGAGGCGTAGGCTGCGCTCATAGTGTGCATCCAGCAGAGTGGAGACGTTTTGCAGCGTGTCGTGAACCAGTTGCAAGCGTTTCGTGCTATCGGGAAAGTTTTCATCCATGTCGTGGCGCACGGAGTCTCCGGTGACAAGCACAAAGCCAGGGTCCGGCAGAGCCTAGCAAAGAGGGGCATGGCGGGCAAGTGAGAAGATTTTTGTTTGCTCGAGCCGATGGTGCTTGATACATAAAGAAGGAAAGCGGGGCGAGGGGTGGGGGGCAGGTAGGTGTTTTGAGTGCACTGAAAATATCCGAAAAATAGCTGAAACAAACGCACAAGCTTGGCTGCCTCAAAGGAGACGTTCAACAAGGCAAAGGGGGCATCACAATCAGAGCGCCCAAATTCGGGCCGAGAGTCTCCAACGCTACAAGTGTGAAACCATTGCACGGGTTAGTCATGCACGCCACATAATTTCCAGAAACGGACGCACTGGGTGAAGTGCCATTCCAATCAAACGATAAACAGACTGGTAGAGCTGACGAGTCTGGACTCAAGGGCAGACTGACTTTGAACTACAGGATGAGGTGTCGTCCAAATAAAAGTGATCATAGTGCACATCCGTGATCCAGAGGAATTCCGTGAAGGGGGAAACGTGCGGGGTTGTTGTTGTGCGCCACTCAGGCGTCTGTGTCGTCCCCTCGGCTGTCGTGGTTGTGGACGGTCCCGGCGTCAAGGTCTCGGTCGTTGTCCCCTCGGGCACCGGTGCTGCTGTTGTTGTTGTGCGCCACTCAGGCGTCTGTGTCGTCCCCTCGGCTGTCGTGGTTGTGGACGGTCCCGGCGTCAAGGTCTCGGTCGTTGTCCCCTCGGGCACCGGTGCTGCTGTTGTTGTTGTGCGCCACTCAGGCGTCTGTGTCGTCCCCTCGGCTGTCGTGGTTGTGGACGGTTCCGGCGCCAAGGTCCCGGTCGTTGTCATTCCCGCGAGTGTCGTTCCCTCGGTTGTCGTGTTTGCCTCTGTGAACAATTGTTGTTGGTCAGGGCCGGGCGGCAATTCAACGAGTGAGTCTACTCGATGCATCATCCCTCATGCAAGCACGCCACATTTAACTGATGAGCGCCCACCACACTCTCACCTGATACCGCAATCCAAGCGCCAGTTGGCTGTGTCAAGAGCAGCAACATGGACACCACACCGAGCCAGACACTTGCCCGACCGCGCTGGCGCATTCCTGCCCGACGCTGTGCCCCCATACTCCTGGTCGAACAGGCCACCGCCCGCATCGGACTTGATTGAACTAAAATGGACAATGACGGCGTGCTCTCTCTCTCTCTCTCTCTCTCTCTCTCTCTCTCTCTCTCTCGTGTTTCTCTTTCGTTTCTCTCTTCGCCCTGTGTCTCTCTTCGTTCTTGTAAGAAGAAAGTCTTGATCTCTGTCTGTCTCTCTTTCTTTTGTGAGTGAGTTGTCTGTCTCTGTCTGTGTGTCTCTCTTTTCACTCTCTCTCTGTCTTTTTGTCTCTCTGTCTCTGTCTCTCTGTCTCTGTCTCTCTGTCTGTCTCTGTCTGTCTGTCTCTGTCTGTCTCTGTCTCTGTCTCTCTCTCGTTGCGACAGGGCGCATCGGGGGTGGTTGGCTCGACGGTAGACACGGAGCAGTCGGCAAACTGCATAGAGGACACATTCGAAGCGCTGCAGCATCTCGCGTCCCGGTGACAGTGGCGCACGCCGATGGCTTTTGGCCAAGGGTGAAGAGAAACACTCACTGATCCATTCTTACAGCACAGCACATCTGGAAATGGAGGCGCTACTCAACGAGGCTTCCAGGTCAGATGGCCCCTCTCGACCACGCGCGCCTTTTCGTCTGCCTCGTGACCTAACAAGCTGCATGGTACTATGCGATTTGACTCGTTCAACTCATGACTGGTTTCTGGTTTGTTTGTTTTTGCCACCTCAAGGCTGCGGCTTGAGCTGCACCAGCGACTATCAGTGCTGGCTCACATGAAGGCAGGAAACCAACAGATTCAACTTGGTAAATCTTTTGCCGCCGTCGTCCTTGAGCAGTCGCCTGGCTTGATTTGGCTCAAGACTGCATTTTGGAACGCGTCAACAGCACTATCGAGGCCCTGGCACCGCAGCTCACCTTCACCATGGATGGTCCCTGCATACACAATGTAGAAAACGAGACAAGCCTGCAATTGCAGCGATTCCGTCAAATATACGACTTGCTCATGGACAAGCTGGCCAATGCAGGAGTGGATCGCCGCGAAGCGCTCTCCCCGTATGCTACCCTTGCCCTCTTCCCTGTTCTGCACAGCACAGGCGCTCGTACACGATTTACCCGCTCACTTGCCTCCCCCCCACTTCTCTCCTTCGACAGCCGGGTTGAAGAGCTTTATACCGAGCTCAAAGATATCACAGCCGCGTATCAAGCTCATTTGCGACAAAAAGACTCTGTGGTTTGTCGGTCTCACCTTGGTCTGGACGCTTGTCCGACACCAGCTGCAGCCACCTTTTTTTTTCGTATTTTTTTCCGACCTTCTGGTCCCTGCTTGCTTTTCTCAGGCACGCGAGGCTCGAGAGCGCGACGAGCTGCTGCAAGGTGGCATCCAACGCATGGTCCGGCAAGCGGTGCACTTGACTTTTTGGGATGGCCGTCGTCAAAAGCTGCCCTCCTCACAACCCTGTCCTCGACTACATGTGCGCCGTGTGGCAGGACTCGACCGCGCTTTTCATTGATGACGCAGACCTAGAACACCACGACCGATTGCTGGCTGCCAACACGGGCGTGGACGGTCTTTTGAATCGGGCCGGTGGCGTGCTCTCCGATCTCGCCTCACAAAAAGACACGCTCAAGGTAAGATCAGCTCCACAGCGATGTTGGCAAGACCCTTGACGCGCTCTCGTTTTCTGCTTTTTTTTCCTCACACGTTTGCTCAATCGTACCCAACACAGCGCATTCAACGCCGTGCTCTGGACATTGCCAATCAACTTGGTCTTTCCAACACTGTGATGCGATTGATTGAGCAGCGAACGGAGCAGGATCGCTACATTCTCTTTGGTGGCATGGCCTTGACCAGTCTTCTTATGATCCTCATCTACGTGTATTTTGGCTAGGTGGCTCGGGCGCACACATTACACGTGCCATTCATTAGAAAAGAAATTTGATTAACAAGCCTTACAATGTGTCATGTGGACAATGTCAAGTTAATCGCTTTTTTTGGTCGGTTCTGTGAGACAGAGCCGCTGGTGGGTGATTCGATCACAAGTCGGGGGTTGGGAGGGCCATCGCTTAGACGCTTGACACGGTCGCCTTGGTGGCCAGGGCTTGCTTCACTTGCCGCAGTTGCTGCATCATGTAGTCCTTCAAGGTCTTGTGAATGTACTCGTATTGTGGCTGTGCGCATGGCATTTGTTGGTCAGTGCAGGTTGCGAGTCCAAACTCGAAACACAGGTTCAGACCATTATTGATGCGCGTTCAGCTTACCAGGGCTTGCACCATCATGGTGCGCGAATGACGCATGTTGGCGACAACAGCACGAACATCAAGGTTCTCCAGGTCCGCATGATCCACGGCACGGAACAAACGATCAAGAGCAATAAATGTGCCCGTTCGGCCGACACCCGCAGAGCAGTGGACAACAATGGGGTGTTTGTTTTTAAGACCCGTGTACGAGCGCACCGCAGTGCGATACTCAATCATGTCCATCGTAGAGTCGGGCGCACCGTGATCGGGCTAAGTCGAATGCAAAGTGTCCCAAGAAGACAAGTGAGACAGATCAGCGACAGATCAGCGACAGATCAGCGACAGATCAGCGACAGACAGACACAGACACAGACACAGACACAGACACAGACACAGACACAGACACAGACACAGACACAGACACAGATACAGACACAGAAAAAGCAAGCGTGCCGACTAGAAACGACAGTTTGACGATGAGTGGGCCACGTACCCAGTTCAAAAACTCAAACTGTGCGATTTCACGAGTCTCGCCATCCTTTTGCAACTGGAAGACACGCTTGATATAGACCTTGTTCTCCTCTTGAGAGAGCGGGCGAACAATGACATCACCGTACTTCTGCATAAGCATCAACAGCAACCGAGCTGAGCAAGTCTGACACGGTGGGCATTCCCATCTCTTTCGTCTTGAAGGCAGAGATGAAGCGAACTGACCGTGGCAGCTTCGTCGGGCCAATACTGGTGGCACTTGACACGGTTGCCTTGGATCAAAGCCGTGACCATGACAATTGCCACAGCTTGTTGCTCCCAAATCATTTGCCAAAAGCTCACACAAGTCACAGGCAAAGGTCCCTGAGTGGCAATAAACTCTTTCGGGCCGTGATAGCCATCCACAAAGTTAGCGTTGATATAGTCAGTATTGTTGTTGTGTGACGTGGGTGCAACCTTGACACGGCTGTGGTCGTCTACGGATGGCATGAGCAAAGGAAAGGGATTCATCAAAATGGCCAACGCTGAAGGAAACCCATGCCACTGTGGAAACAGAGACAAGAGTCCATTGGAAGCTTTGCACGTACACGCAGTCACGTTGGAATAGCGGTTCAGCAGGCGGTTGTCACGAGTGGCTTGGGAAGTGTTGTCTGTGGGTTGATTGAAAGAGACGAATAACAGCGCCGAATACGGAATGAGAGGCGGTGTGCAAAACAGGTACTATGCCAATGCTTCAAAAGTGAGGGTATTGAATACGCACCATTTCCCTCGGTAATGCCTTCATACTCCTCAGCGTAGCCTGAGTAGCCCGAATCCGTGGGTTGGTCCAATTGTTGGATGCGGCGCATCAGGAAAAGCAAAGCATCATGCAACAAGCGCTGCTTCTCCTCTGATATTGCAAAAAGAAAACAGCAAAACGTTAACCAAAGCGTGATCTGTAAGAGTTGCGCCTCATGCAACACGCCACATCTGGCAGTCACGCCGCGACAAGCACCAACCAAGAGAGATTTTGGGCTCAGGTTGTTGCTCAGGTTCGGGCTGCTCCTCTGCTTCGGGTTCCTTTTCATCTTCCCAAGATTGTTTGTGCTGCCACTCGTCGCTGGGTGCCATCATATCCAAGGGATCAAAGTCACCATCGCCGCCCATTGCCATTTCCTCCTCATCGCTATCCGATTCTTCAGCGGCAGCCTTCTCCGCAGCAGCCTTCTCCGCAGCAGCCTTCTCCGCAGCAGCCTTCTCAGCGGCGGCCTTCTCAGCGGCGGCCTTCTCAGCGGCGGCCTTCTCAGCGGCGGCCTTCTCAGCGGCGGCCTTCTCAGCGGCGGCCTTCTCAGCGGCGGCCTTCTCAGCAGCAGCCTTCTCAGCGGCGGCCTTCTCCGCAGCAGCCTTCTCCGCAGCAGCCTTCTCCGCAGCAGCCTTCTCAGCGGCAGCCTTTTCAGCAGCAGCCTTCTCAGCGGCGGCCTTCTCAGCGGCGGCCTTCTCCGCAGCAGCCTTCTCCGCAGCAGCCTTCTCCGCAGCAGCCTTCTCCGCAGCGGCCTTCTCCGCAGCAGCCTTCTCCGCGGCGGCCTTCTCAGCGGCGGCCTTCTCAGCGGCGGCCTTCTCAGCAGCAGCCTTCTCAGCGGCGGCCTTCTCAGCAGCAGCCTTCTCCGCAGCAGCCTTCTCCGCAGCAGCCTTCTCCGCAGCAGCCTTCTCAGCGGCAGCCTTCTCAGCGGCGGCCTTCTCAGCGGCGGCCTTCTCCGCAGCAGCCTTTTCCGCAGCAGCCTTTTCCGCAGCAGCCTTCTCAGCAGCTTCGGCGGCGGCCTTCTCCGCAGCTTCGGCAGCAGCCTTTTCAGCGGCAGCCTTTTCAGCGGCAGCCTTTTCAGCGGCAGCCTTTTCAGCAGCTTCGGCAGCAGCCTTCTCCGCGGCAGCCTTCTCTGCAGCTTCGGCAGCAGCCTTGTCTGCGGCGGCCTTCTCCGCGGCCAGACGCTCTTCCTCTGCCTTACGCTCAGCTTCAAGACGCTCCTGCTCGGCCTTCATCTTCATCTCTTCAGCCTTGCGAAGCTCCTCTTCCTTGGCCTTGCGTTCGCGCTCCTTCTCGGCCTCCCGAATTTTACGGTCGCGCTCCTCCCGCTCCTTGAAGCGACGCTCCATCTCCTCGACACGCTTGCGTTCAGCCTCTTGTCGGGCAGCCTCTTCCATTTCGCGCTGACGGCGGAGCGCCTCGCGCTCCTTGGCCTCGCGTTCCTTGTCCTCCTGTCGCGAGGTCAAACAACGCCCGAACTTTAAGACGGCGATGGCTGCAAAACGATTGCGTTCACCTTTCAGTTGGTAACATACCTGCAGCTTCTGGCGCATTTTCTCAATCTGCTCTTGCTCGCGACGCTCCAGGGCTACACGCTTCTCCTCTTGCTATCAGCATCGGCATGGCGAGCAGCATGCATTCATGGGCACCAGGTGACGGCACCCCAGAGTAACACGGGGACAGTCTGGCAAAAAAGAGCAGAGATGGCTTACACGACGTTCAAGTTCTTTGCGCTCTTGCTCCAGGCGTTGCAGTCGTTCATCGCGCTTGCGCTGGGTTGACGGCACATTAGAATGGGGACATGAGGCTTCATGATGGTGTCGTGCACAAAGCTGGGCACTTTGAAGTGTCTGAGCTGCCAACGACTTCTGACCTTGGCCTCTGATTCGGCCGCTTGGGCAGCAGCGCGACGCTTTTCCTTCTCGGCACGCGCCTTTTCCAGAGCAGAAGCATTGAGCTGTAGCAGAGGGCGGCCGACATACATCAGCACAAAGGACAGGTGATGTGCATGCCAGCATGCGAGGGTCCAGCACCTCCGGCTCAGCAGGGACAGGCAGCCCGCCCGCAGGTGGATATAGAAAGCAAGGGCGCTGATCATTACGTACTGGTTTCTCCTGCTGCAGCTTGGCAGCGCGGATTTGCTCGGCCTCTTGCTGTTGGCGGCGGTTGTTTTCAAGCATCTCAGCTTCACGCTTCTTGGCGGCAGCCTTGGCCTTGCGCTGACGCTCGGCTTCTGCGGCGGCTTCAGCCTCGGCTTCCTTGCGCTGATGATGGCAAACCAGGTGGGCGAGAGTCAAAGGGGCGCGACCTGGTCTTCGTTCCCGCAGGCCTGCAAGTCCTGTGGAGAGCTGATGCGAGCGATTCAATGCAGCCTCACCTTGATATCCTGCTCAAGGGCGATGCGTTGAGCCTCACGCTCACGGCGGCGGCGCTCCTTCTCCTCGGCGGAGATCACGGTGCGCGATGCACTGTTGCGACGCTTGCGTGGGGCCTGGGCCGGGGTGGCTGGAGCAGCAGCAGTGGCACCCTTGTTCGCCTGCTTGCTCTTTGGGGATGACTCTTCCTTGGGTTTGGCCATCCAATTCACGGCAACGAAGACCAGGGCCACGACGGCCAAGGCCCCGCCCATCAAGAAAAGCGGCGTCATGACGACTCTTTCAAACAGCGATGGCTCAAGCTCGCGGAAAGATCAGGATCAAAGAGTGGGGTTTGTAAGCAAACCCCAAAGCCTTTGCGTCCAAAAAAAAAAGTCCTGTGACCTGTGTGTGCCCAGAAAACAGAGAGAGAGGGACCGGGACAAGTGAGCATCGGATATAGGGCCGAGCTACAGAAAGAATGGCCAAAGAACCCTAGAGTACCGCGTACTCTTGGAGCCTGATGCATTCAATTTCTGATCCAGCATGGCAGTGAACCGCCAAACGCCGCCGAGGGTGCCGCCACTGACCTTTTTCGTCGCACTCTCAACCACCAAAAGGAGAAGCAGCAAGGGGGGAAAGAAAAAGGCTGAAAAGGGAAAACAAAAGAAGAGTGTGAATGTCAGTGGATTCAAGAGAAGAGAGAGAGAACAAGAGAAGAGGAGAAGAGAGAGAGAGACAAGAGAGAACAAGAGAGAGAAAAAGAGAGAGAACGAGAGAGAGAACGAGAGAGAGAACGAGAGAAGAGAGAACAAGACAAGAGAGAGAGAAAACAAGAGGGAAGAACACAAGTAACCGTTGGACAAGGCGGACTTTCGTGTTGCATTGTTTTCTCGCAAGCATTGGGGGCGTTGTGAGAACAGGGGGGTCACGGTTGTATGTGTGTCAAACTTAAAGTGCTATACTTTGACCCCATTTGAATCTCGAGGGGTGCTCTTCATATTCGCGAAGCGCACCGTTCAGAACACGCGTTTTCTATTCCTCTTGTGTCGACTATGTCAGAAGAATTATTCTGAAATTGTTATGGCGTGTTCTGCGGACTGCGACTCTGGACTGCGGCTGGCTCCAAGTCTGGCGCCAACCACGCAAGCAGAGTCGATTGATATGACTACGTTCTCGGGACGGCCCCGTGACGGCGTACCCAGTACGATCAGTACGAGCATCCCAGCTCGAATGGATGGCCATGCAAGCCACTTTTGGCGCCCACAAAGAGGCTCTGGCAGAAGGGCGTGACATCAAATACCAAGGATTGAGGAAAGCAGAAAGAGTCGACAGAGACTGAGACGACCCGAGAGCAGAAAGAGACAAGATTGAGAGCATACAGACACAGAGGCAGAGACAGAGAGACAGAGAGGCAGAGACACAGACAGAGACACAGAGACAGAGGTAGACAGAGAGGTAGAGAGACACACACACACACACAAAGAGCCTTAAAGAGAGAGACAAAGAGTGTGTTGCGTCCGTAAGTTTCGTGTTTGTATTTTCTATTTTTGGCCAAATCAGGTCTTGGGTTTGGTAGTCGTTGAGTCTCGTCGACGGCAGTCGACGGCAGTCCGGCGCTTGTTTCACTGCGGTGGTCCGGGCCAAGGCTGCTGGTTGAGCCTTGTCTTTTTTTGATGAGAAGGTACGCTGGGTGGCTGGATGCAAGGCTTTTGACAGTATGATGCGGGTCATGCAGCCAGGACAAACTTGTGCTTGGCCTCACTCAATCACTGACAATTTATGTGATGGCGGCCCTGCCTAGGCGCGCGACTGCGCAAGCGAGCAGCACAAAAGGTTCTACCCTTGCTCCTGGCGAGTGAAGACACTGCTTTGCCACCCCTATTCCGCCCACCGGGCGAGCTTTGGGCTCGCCCAGAACACAGCCCAACAAGCACAAATACGATACTGCTTGTGTGACGTGCCCGCAAAACTGCCGTGCCCGCAAAACTGCCACCATGAGTGACACTCAGGTACTGAGCAACTGTCGCAAGCTTTCGACAGCGAGGGGCTGATCGTGCTAGCTCTCCGCCATCCCGCTCCACCCCCTGACTCTCATTCGCTCCACCCTCCTGACTCTGTCCACGCAACGACTTGCATGCCTGGTCGGGTCCTCATCTTGTGTGTGCGGCTGTGCACATTGATGTGCGCCTGCAGAAGATCATCAATGATCTCAAAGACATGGGCTTTCCCATTTCCGCGGTGAGGCCCCTTTGCTCTGCGTCTGCCTTTGGGCTACCCAGTCTTTGCTTGCCTTTTTCTTCAAATATCACCCTCACCCTCGCATGACTGTCGGTCGCATGGCCCAGATCCAGCGCGTTCACAAATCAGGCATGACTTTCGAAGCCACGCTTGACAAGCTACTAGCTGGTGACGTATGTCTTCTTACTTGCTCATCCCACCCTGGCTGAATGCATCGACTCTTTGACTAATATCTCAGTGCAGCCCATCTTAGTTTTCCCGGTGTTTTTTTTTTTTTTTTTTTTTATCTCGGCTCTCTACTCCTGGCTTTTCCTGATCAACCACTGACCCTTGCTCGCATTCCTCAGATTGGTGACGACATTGATGTCGATGATGGGGATTTGGAATCTCTTGATGTGGTAATATTTTGTAGTTTGGGCGGTCGTCCTGCTATGCAACCGACCGGTGCTGTGTGACTTGTTGTTGGCCTTGCTTACGTGCTGATCTTAAATGCATGCCGAAACTGCGCAGCCCTCGGAGGACCACAACCTCAATGTGAATTCTGGCTTTTCTGAAGACCACACCATGAATACTGATGCCGATGAAGATCCCTTTCACCGCAATGTTGACGCCATGGAAGACAGTGAGTGCCCGCCTTGGCCAGATCCGCATGCTTAAGAAGCCGATGCACCGCTCCGCACCTCCAAAGGCGGTGCACTTCCGAAGTCACTGATCTTATTGCCCTTTACAACTGGGGCGTGGTTTAGATGCACACCTAATGCAAACGGCACCGAATCTTAGCGATGAAGCCATCAAGTTTGTATTGTGCTTTACCCTCGCCCTCATTGTCCCTTTCATTTTTTTTTTTTTGGTTCCATTGCTGACCATGACTGTACCTGCTCGTCATGTCCTTTGCAGCAATGACTTTAATGCTCACATCTCTCGGTCCAAGTGCGTTTGAGCCTCAGGCTCGAATGTAACCCCATGCTCGCACATTACCAGCGCATGCTCTCATCCCTGTCAAAATGCAGCTCGCAGGAGGGTCCGGATTCGCCGCTGCCCGTCAGCAACCAACGCGACGAAAAGCTGGTGACGATTCGTAGCGCCATTGAAGAGGTGCGATGCGTTTTGGCCAATGTATGAGCTTGAGCAGCCACACACGCCTCTCAATGATTGGTGTCTCGTCAATGGCAGGGCGCACCTTACCTTAGTCTCGACCATCGACTGCTCGAGCCAGATTATGAGACCAACAACGTCCAACTCGACCTCAACTGGACTGCACTAAAAACCCTCCAACGCCCCGAGGTACACTCGACACACAAAGCTTTGTCCAATCGATTCCACCGTGTCACACAAAAATAACTTGGTCTTGGGTCTGTGGCATCGCTCACATTTATTCGCTTTCATCTCCTTCTCTCAGGATGGGCCTTATCGTGTTCCAGAGGTGCTCATGACCACCATCGAATCGCAGCTGCAGTGAGCCTTCACCGCACTCCCTTACCATCTGTGGCCCTGCATAGCCATGACCGGCGCAACAACTCTCATATCGCTGCATTCCGCCATTCACGCCACTGTGTATGAACTTGCAGGGGTCGATGGTCAATTTTGGTGCTTCAAAATGAACCCTTGGGGGTAGCAATGCAGGCCGCGATCCTAGCGCTCAATGAAACCGATGCCCTCCACGCTGACGCGCAACTCAATCGTTTTTTGGCCGTCCTCCTTCCGGACGCCTTTGACAAGCTTTTGACGTCAAGCGTATGTCCAGACGCTGCACCTCTTGCGTTCACAACCACGGACTTGAAGCAATTCCTGGCTTATTTGACCCAACATACTGCCTTTGCCATGTTCACCCACTTGACCGTGATAACACCTTCCCTCTTGCCTGCAAGCCATGTCTCACGGCGTTTTTATTTTGTTCCATGTCTTCATTCAACTTAACAATGCCTGCAGGCGCTTTACAATTGGGATTTAAGCACCTTTCAGCGCATTCAGCGGCTCATCAATATACTTCTTCGCCTGTGCATCAAACTAATCCCCTACGACAACGTCATTGTCGGCGACATGCTTGCCAAGGTCAAGCGATTGACAGAGAACTTGTTACATCACCCATGCTCTGCTGCAGAAATAGTCATTCTCACTGGGCTCACTCGGTGGGTTGCTGATGGAACCTCATTTTCAGGTTTTCTCTGTGAAGAGCACCTTCAACGTGAAAACGCGTCATTACGCATCCATCTATGACACCATCTTTCCACGTATGTACCAAAGGCGAAGGCTGCAATCACACGCATGCGATGCCAGAAAGGTTGCAGAACAACTGATTGGGAGCCCAGCCGCAAACCCTTCACCTGTGTCTCAAATTGACAATGCTATGCGCTTTCAGAGGAAAATGTCATTGCGTATGCCCGCCCCCGCACTGCTCAACTGGCAACCTCGCATGCCTGGTTGGCGGACAATTTAAATCTCTTCGCAGCCCTGGTGCGTGGTGAAGTCTAATGACTATATTGCCCGCCTGCCTGCCTGCCTCATGCGATACACATCATGTTTTTCGTCATTGCATGGTGCTCTTAGGGCGGTTTCTCGGCCATCGTGGGGCGTTTAGCGCGTGCGGACATCACAACACCTTTGGCATGCGCGCTTGTGACGTAAGAGAGAGCTGGAGCTATGTCCCAAACTTGACATTCTTTGACCTTTTTGGCACCACGCTGTTCTACATCTTGTGGGGAGGTTGTGTGGCATTTTGGTGCTCGCTCAGCTTGCTTTTTGTCACGTGGGTTGCTCGATATTCAGGCCGTTCGCGTGCATTGACGCCGTGGAGGGAAACATCATCTCCTGCTTTGAAGCCATCTTCGCAAGCACCGTCAACTTGGTGGAGTAAGTGCTTCTGCATCGAACACCCAAGCCACATCTCATGTTCGAGCACGTGTTTTGTGAAGACTGTGCCGCCTCTGAGTTTTCTCTGACGCCGGCCCCGCAGACACTCCGACCCATTGCGTGAGGCAGCAGCTGAAAGCAACGCGTGCGCAAAACTGTTGGAGATGCTGTATGACCTGGCTCAGGACGCTCGCAAGAACCAGGTGAGTTGATATTTTCGTCTACCACAGCTCTCTCCGCCATCGAGTTGCCTCCCGAGTCTGCGGCAAACTTGGCATATACCTGTTTTTGTTTTTGTTTTTGTTTTTAAAAAAAATACGCAATGCCTCATTCTTGCTTCAACTGTTCTCATGATGGTCTGTATCGTCACTGCATTGTGCGTGACTGCTTGTGCCTGTGTTAGCTGTTGCAACTGCGCCTTGGACGCATCATCAAGCTTCAAGGCTCAGGCATGCAGCACCGCATGCAAGGCCTGACTGAGGTCGGATTTTTGCGATTGCTTTGATTAGCAGTCATACAGTTGGCCCACGCCTTTCCATTCGACGCTGTGACCTCACTCGCCCTGGATCAGCTTTGCAACTTGTGCGACCTGTGCAGTACTGTCCCTTCGATGGCCGCCCAAAGCGAAAACGTCGACGAACCCAACCCTGACTTTTCAGATCTGCACCAAAATGGCGTCGTTCAACGCCAGCGCCTTTGTGATTGGATCAATCATCACCACGTACGTCTTGACGGATTGATCAGTCTGTTGAGTCCTTGTGCGCACTCGACCCTGAGACCGACCCAACCTCATTCATACATTTTTTTGCCTTGTAGATTCTTGAGCGTGCTCTACAAGACGGCATGCACCAAACTCAATATGTCGAGCGGTGGGTGCAGGCATTAGGGTTGGTCAGTGGGTGTCGTGCCTAGTCTCTCACATGCAATGCCTGTTCAATCTCTTCTTCAGCGTGCAAGAGATTCTGAGTTTTGTTGCCCGCAGTCGCAAGTTGCAAGCCCCGTTGATCGATGCCATTTGGGAGGCCCAGGAGGGCCAGCATGCCTCTGTGATCAAGTACGCCGACCTTGTGTCATTTTTTTCTCTCTGCGTGTTTTCCTGTGTGATCTTTTGTTGGTGTGGTTCAACTCTTTTTGTTTTGTTTTGCGCTTTGCACCCTTGGTTTTCCTGTCTTGGCTTGGGCGCCCCACGTGGCTTGATTGTACTCACACCGCCTGCTTGCTCGCAAATGAATGTCCGCACCCATTCAGCAACGTTTTTGATATGATTGCATCAACTTCATATGATTTCTCAGACGAGCTGTTGCAACGTTTTTTTGAAAAATTTCGTGATTTGTGGGTTCGCGTCAACGCCGAAAATAACTCCAAGCTGCTCAAGCTCTGCTTTGAGGTCTGTTTCTCCAGCAGTGTCTGCTTTCTGTTCACGGTGCTTGGCCTTCTACCCAACCTACCCAACCTTTCCATCATGCCCTATCCAATCCTCTATGGTCTATGGTGCGATTGGGGCTGTTTCATCTGATCAATCTTCTGATTTGAACTCGTTTGATTCAATGGGTAGTTTCTGTCCGCGCTGGTGCGTGGCATGACGCACAAGAACAATGAGAACGTCGTTGATCTCATGTGGAGCCTTGCCACTGATGTACGGACAATGCCGGGCGTGCGCCTGCAGTTTACTGTTTTGCCTCCATTATATTGATGCTGACTTGTAATGCCTTACTTGTTGGTCCGTTGTATTAGGCCAACACGTCTTGGTATGCCCGGGATCAAGTGCTGCGCAACATGGTGAAGTTGCTCCCTTCCCGGCGTAGGGATGTGAGTGCAGATGAAGCACATCCTGGACCTTCCCTGCGTCAGATCTGGATGAAGCGGTAGGTCACAATTATCTGTGCAGCAGCAGCCATTCGTCAGGAGATCACTGCCACCCTCAGTCGCACCATTCGCCAAGCCTCAACTGTTTTGTTTCGGGCCAATAGCTGTCTTCAATGCTGCCAAGAACAGAGAAATGCTTTAGCAGCTACCACTCTGCTTGGCTACTTGCCCAAAGCCTCTGTGGTGGGCGTGGGGAGTTTTTACAACAACTACGATGAAGACCTTGTGCGTAGTCGCCGCGGGATTGAGGCTCATGTTGCAAAAATTTCGCTTTTTTTTTTTTTTTTTTCTTTTTTTTTTTTTTTTTTTTTTCGTTTTTTGCCTCAACCTCAAACTCAACATTCTCTCCATTCCTAGCGTGCGCTGGTTCGATCGGATGACGTTATCAACGTCATCGTTGCCAATTTGAAAGCCTATTGGGCCCATTGTCGCGAGGTGAGTATGTGACATCCTACTTGTGCATTCTGTTCGATGCTTCGAGTTGCGATTCTCATTTTTATGCCGATTGCTTCTTCCGCTTGGGCTTGTATTTTTATCCTTGTCCTTTCGTTGTTTGTATGCTCGTTGTTTGTTTTTTTGGGTTGTTTGTTTTTCATTGGTTTCACCAGGTGCTTCAAGATCAACCTGAGAACGAGGATCCAGACACCATCCTTTTGGATGTCCTTTTTGATGGTGTGGCGTATGCTGAAGTTGTTTCAAAGTACCTGGATGCCATTGCTTGCATTCTCAAGGTTTGAGATGATGCTACAAAATGCTGAAATGCTTTTCGTCGGCACGCTTGCATTGAACTCATTTTCAACTTTGGTGAATGCTCCTGTGCTTTGTCCCTAGGGGACTGAGTTGAAAATGACCTGGAGCCCTATTGCCCACCTGTGGTCCTATTACGTTGAAAACAGAAACTGCGAAGCGGAGATCAACTTATGTTTGTTCAGTGTCAACATTATCTGGCAGATACTTCTTGGTCAAGGGCCATTGAGCATCTGGCTCCTCACCATTCGTCTTGCTGTACTGCTTTGCCCTCGTCGTATGCACTTTAGGGATGACTTGGCTGGAGACCAACTATATGCAGCTGATGATGAACTGCCGGCGTTTGCTTTTGGAAGACACCCTACTGACCATGCCCGTCGCGTCATTCGACAAGAATTTATGCTTGCGTAAGTATGCAAGCGGCGCGTTCTCCCATATTTTCTTGCGCGTGCGCGTCATGTATCCGGCAATATCCTCATGACGTTGAAAAATATCCTTCTGGTGTAGTTTTCAAGTCTCTGTTTTTGCAGGTCAATTATGATGAGCATCGGCTCTCCTCGGCTCGCCTGAATCTGGTCCATGTGCAGCAAAGCCACTTGATCGGTCTCGACAAGTTGTGGGAACTCGGTGAGCTGAACGAGCACGCTCAAGTGCATGCCTGACTCGGTGATCTCTCCATACCCCACATTCACATTGAAGCGCTCACCCGACTTTGGCCATGCGCAGCTCTCGAAGGCACGGAGGACGTTGCAAACGAAGTACAGCAGCTGATTGGCGTGTTGTACGATCGCATTTCTGTCGGTGACATGTATGTCTCAACGCTAAACAGTGTTGTTCTCTTCTAACAGTGGCGGCCTGTTGCTGTTTTGGTCATCGTGTGCGTTACGCCTTGCGATTTGAAACTCACGAGTTGGTCAATCGCATGTACCCCCCACCCACCCTCTGTGCTGCCTGTGTGTACAGCTTGGAGCACCACCAATTGGGCTACTTTTTTGATGTGCTGGCGCGCTTCATGGGTGCTCTCAATGCCCTAGGACTTCCCATGCAAGCTGTTCCCGTACCACCACAACTCTCCTATGTAGTTTTGCGCGACACTGTGCATGAGGAACAAGTGGGCTCCGATGCGGTCAATCAGAGCGCCAACAGCGTCCTCGACCCTCAAAAGCAAGGTGCGTTTGGTTTGATTTGTTGTTTTGTTTTTGTTGGTTTGTAATTATTGGTTTGTTTTGTAAAGAAGCAGCTTTTGGTCCTGCTCGGTTTGTTCTTGCAATGTTGTTCACGCACGCTGGACAATCAAACAGAGAGCGAAAACGTTGAGAGCTGGACCACTGGATCAAAACATGCTGATGCCCGCCAAGTTGACAAAAACGGTGACATTCATCGCAACAACAGAGGCGCCAGTCCAAGTGACACGGGCGAGAATGGCGACGATACAAATTCGGCAAGAACGGGACGACGCGGCGCCCTCTTTGAAACCGACGAAAATGACCCAGGGCTGCAGGGCAACGATGATGACCCAGCTGCATTTGCGGTTGGCCGCCAATCACTTGCCGCGGCAGGCACCGTAGTCGGCACAAGCATGGCCGGGCCCAGCAATCATCTGCAACCCTCATTCGAACCGCAGCATGAGCCAATCACTGAAGACAACTTTGACAGCAATAAGGCATCGCGTCGAAACTCACTGCAGTCCACGGGTGACATGAATGATTTTGAAGACATGACCTACGATTCCCAGTCACTGCCTGCGGATCCAAGTCGCGCGAGTCCCATGTCGGAGTGGAGCAAAGAGGCGCCCCCATTAATCCAGACTTCCGAGTCAAAATCACATCCAGAACTGCAAGGACAAGCACAGTCTGAAGCTGATGGACTCGATCGCGTTGACGAGGCGCAAGACGCTTTCCCGCAAAAAATGCCTCAAAATCACGAGTCTGACTCGGCAACCACATCGCGCACGACCTCGATTGAGCAATGCGTCGAGCCACATCATTTTGAGGCGAGTGATTTCATGACCAGCTTGCTGCGTGTTACGCGCTCTTTGGCTATTTTAGCCGACATTATCAAGGTGAGGCTACATGTCGCTTCTACTGTCCAGTCTTGAGTGTTTTGCAGCCACATGCTGTCCGTATTGGTTGAGCCTTTGCATCATCTTTGGTCCGACCGGCTTCCAGTACTTGCGCTTCATCTTACAAAGAACTCAACAAATTATAATTGGGCGCTCGCAGAGCCATAACGATATGAATGAGGTGTTGCGCTCTGAGCTCCCCCATGCGTGCGCACATCGCGGCCGTGATGTGCTACTGACTGTTCAGCAGCGTGATGGCCGCTGTCGCTTTCTTGTTCGCGCACACACCCATGAACCTGCCATGTTCATCCGCAACCAGGTGTGTGTACCAAACTCGATGCACCAGCCGACCTGCCTCGGGCTCGCGTTTGAACTCTTGGTGATGTATCTCCATGGCTTTTCCTGCCTCGTCCCACGTGTATGTAGATTGCCAACTTCTTGCAGCAACAGGTACAGAGCGTACATCTGAGCATCAACGACCAATACTTGCGGAGCAGCGACTTATCTAAGTCGCTTCGAGAACTAAGCGTGACAAGTGATGCCATTGTAACCGTGTCAGAGGTGTGTTCCGTGCACTCTGTGACACTAGCGAGGCAGGCTAGCAGCGCCATGCTTCTGCCCGCTTAATAACTGTGTGGCATTGTATCGCAGACCTATTCCACAAGCTCCTACTACTATCAAAAGGTTGGTTGCGCTGGTACTTGTGTGTCTTGCATGAGTGTGTGTCTGTGTCTGTGTCTGTGTCTGTGTCTGTGCCTGTGCCTGTGTTTGTGTTCTTCCCCTCTGCCGAGTGCACGCGCCTTCTGCGACGTGGACTTGTGCCCGTGCACAAAGGAAGCATTGCCATGATACCCCAGTTGCTGACGTGCCTATACAATGCCTCGCCCATCGTTTGCACAGACGGACCCCATTGACCCTGTAGGCACCTGTGGCAATTCGCTGCGCACTTGCGCTGACAAAGAGGATATCCTACCGGGTGGCCTCTTGTGCGCCATGGCCCCAGTCATGGAAGCACTCGTACGCCTTTTGTCGTTGGGGACGCCACGCCAAGCGAGGAATCTCGATCTTAGGCTCGTCGAAGAAGCAGCCAGGAATTGCACCAAGCAAGCCCTGGCAGTGCTGAAGGTTGTCAACACCCAACAAGAGCTTCTCGACCGACTGAGTCGTGCTCTTACAGCCACGTATGACATGCAGCCAGAGCCAACTGCCACGCTTCTTTTCGAGGTGCTTACTGAAGCACCGCCCCATCAGTCAGGTCCGACCTGCCAGAGAGTGTGCGGCCGTGAAATCAGACTTGACACATTCTTGCCTGTCCTCAATGTTGAATCCCTCCCTCCTCCATTTTTGCATGCTTTTGGACTCATCCAGCCGCGTGACCCGTTGCTCTAGAGGAAAATGGGCTCTATGAGCAACACTTCCGACCGTCCGAACAGTGTTCAAGCTTGGCCTTGGTGTATCGCCTGCGTGCTCTCAAGCAGCTGTTGCAGCCGGCATATGTGTGCAACCGAGACGAGGCCATGACTCAAATGAGACTTCGCTGCGCATTCCTCAAGAGCCATGCCGCCCAGACACTGTTTGCGCTACTGCAGCAACCTTTTGACAACGTGTCTGACGCGCGCGAGGCTTCATCCTTTCTCGAGATCAAAGTCATTTGCCTGGATACCATTTTGGATGTGATGCGCCAGGCGCTTGCCCCCAGCACAGAAATTGTTGTGCCGGTAATGAGTGCAGTGCGCTCGCAAACCGGGGATTTTCGAGGCACAGCGCTCATTGAAGACGTAGCGGCAGGGGCAGCTGGCGACGGGGTTGTGGTCAGCTTTCAGTATCCCATGCAAGACGGTTTGCAACTGGTGCCAGAAGAAGCCCACAGCAGCGGCGCCCGCGCCATGCCGATGGAGCCTGACTTGACGCGCCAACTCTTTCAAAACCGCTCCTTCAATGATGAGTTTTTCCAATGCTGCAAGCGCTTGGTTTGCCAGGCTTGTCGCCAGGAGTTTTCTCAATCAGGCGAAGATGGCTCAGCAATACGAGGCCCGATGCGACAGGATTCACAGCTTCTCGCCACTGTCACGCGTCCTTCAAGCCCGGCCGTCCGCCTCATTCATCAGCTTGCGCTGGATCTAATGCAGCTGAGCGTGCAAGCTGGGTTGACACGCCCCTCAACCCTGGGCCTTGATGGCAGTGACCGAGACTTTTTACTTCTCGGCCTTGTCCACGCTTCCCCTGCCATCTTTCGCAGCCGTTTTGGCCGTTTCTTGCGCCACGCAATGGGTCTGAACCTTGAAGAAGGTACAGCTAGGAGCGACCCGCACCCGCTAGCCGTGGCACCTTTGGAAGAGGCCGAGGTGGCTTCAATCGCGCAGCGCGTCTTTGAGGTGCTGTACGACGCAGTTCCAGCATGTTGGGAACCAGCCCCAAGCGATTCCGGCCGCTATGAGGAGCTTTTGGGACTGCTTGTCGATCTGCTGGCACGGACGCAAGTGGAGGCTACCAAGGCCCACGGGGAACCGATGCCCCTCGATCCCCAGCACATCTTTGAGCGCGAGGCGGAGTGGTTACAACGCTTTGTCGCGTGTCGCGATGCCCGTGCGGGCGCTGCACACGAACATGGAGATGACCCTGGTGCTACGGCCCAGGGCGCTGTGGCAATGAGCGAGGATGAACAGCAGCCCTTTGATCGCCATGAGACGAATCCGTCACCGGGACGCTTGCAAGCACCAACGCCCAAGGCTTCCACGGCTCGCTTTTTGGAGGGCCATGTCAAGCTCTTCAAGGAGGCTTTTGGACGCACTCACGCCGAGTATTGCGCAGCCTTTGTCCAGGATCATAACTTTCACATGTTCCTGCTGACCACCGCTTTGTTGGGTGCGGGCAGTGCGCTGCAAGCGCCACAAGAGGCGCCAACCAGCGCCGCGCCTCTGTTTGTCGATGCTAGCATTCGCGATACTCTCTTCTCGCTGTTGGCAAGCATTGTGCAAGTGTCCGTTCCTGCGTTGAACGAAGTTTGCACGTGGTGCAAGACCCACATGCTCGACCCAGTCATCCCTCATGGTGTGGGCTGGACCGTGCAAATCGAGCGCCGCCAACATGCCGTCGGGCTTCGCAATGGCGGTGCCACCTGCTACATGAACTCACTTTTTCAACAACTCTTTATGCAACCCTCTCTACGCCGTGCCCTCATCGACATACCAACGCAAACGCGCGGCTTCTTTGCCCAGCAGGTACGTGTCCATGCTACCAACGGACTGCGTGTTGCCTACATGCCCTTGCACGTGTCGTTGGCATACGTGAGAAGAGAGGAGGAGGGATTTGGTTCAGAATCGGTCAAGTCGTTGTTTGGTAAACATGTTTGCTGAACGCCACCCACATACGCTGCGATGGCTCGTCTCTTACTATGTGCTATTGTGCACGCTTGCTCATGGATTACGGCTGGCTACCTTTTTTTTTTTTTTTTTTTTTTTCTTTTTTTTTTTTTTTTTTTTTTTTTTTTTTAAAC